GACATAACCAGCCTTTCATCAAGAGCGTCAACCTACTGGACGACAGGAGTTAGGGACTTGCAACGTCGCTACAAAGCGATGTACGACAGTGCATACCAAAAGGACCAACGACTGCATAACTCAAAGTCCTCAACGCAGATAATCCGCTTAAGTAGGCAAGAATAATCAAACTTTCAAGTTTCTGGCCGGTAAGCGAATAGAATCTTCCAAGGAATCCGGAATTATTATTTGGGCACCGTCTAGACTAAATGATATAAAGTCAATCACGAAGCTAACGCATGAAATTACCCATTGAATGGACTTACATACGCCAAGCGAACTAATTCCAGAAAGAACTTCCTCTCCACCATACTCACTAGCCACCAAACAAAGACAAGCATAACATCTACATCGAGAGTCACGAGGCCCATCAACCTACCTATCATCCTCGAAATATGCATAATTTACATTAAACAGGGACAATTCACACCTGACTGCAGCTCTATAATAAAGCCAACAAAACGACGTAAATCACCAAACACACTTCACAATATAATCAAAAGCCTCAACTTTAATATATAGCAAGACCTCTAAATTTCAAAGGAAACTTGAAAGTCGCACAATAAATCGACTCCACCAATGCCATCCTATACTGCATACTTCCTTGTCCATTCTTTAGCGGTCTCATCGTATTTCTGACGGTCCGATTTGTAGATGCGCGCAACCTCCGGATTTAAAGGATCATCCGGATTAGGGTCTGTTAGAAGGGAACATATCGACAGAAGAACTACAGGTGTCAAATATGGTCATGTGTTACCTTTTGATGTTGTTAGCGCTGGCGACCACTGGTTCCTTAAAATATCCAGGCAGATATTACCGTTCGAATTTATATTTGGATGATATATTTTAGTTATAAATGTTATCTAAAATCAGACTCATTCAAAACGTCATACTTTGGGCGGTTTGAATGGGTAATCGGTGGGGAAGTGGATATCAAGGGAAAAGATACCACCTTCGAACGGACTATCGGACTACAAAATTTAGAAATCACAAACATCTTGAACGTACTGGACCCATGATAGTCGCCTGCCAGTGGAACACTACAAGACCTAGCTAGTAAAACTTCAAACGAACCTACTATCATCGCCTATAGGCCCTGCAGAGCATTGTGCTGGGGGATCACGACTGAGGTCTGATAATTCCTTGTAAACAAATACCAATATTAACCCCAATTCATCTAGGTACCTTTGTAATCCTCTTCAGGGCCATTCCCAACTCTAACAATAGCCAAGAACCGAAACCAAAGCCGTGTCAAACAACGTCGTGTTTTAAAACACTATAACTGCTGCGATCAAATTTATTATATAAAAAATGACAATTCACATCTCACTTTCATAGAGCGTCACAAATTAACAATATTACAACCAGCAGAGGCATCACAATATTTACATTAGGTAATTATCACGTTCGTTAAATACAATGTACACAAACGTGCTCAAAGGCTCCTACTTGTCTATGCATTGGTCACTTGAGTTAATTTACCCAATAGTGTGTTCTGCTTATTACGCTTGGCAAATTGGGCTCCACGAAATTTGATGAATGCTTCAATCACAGTCTACCTCCGTGCTCATCAGCGCTCGAATAGCCGAATTCATTGCATATTCTGGCATGGCAAGCATTCAGCTATTATTCCACGATTCATTTTGCTGGCACTGCCAGAGATGCTGTTCGATTCGAATATTTTTAGGCAAGTCTTTTATTTCCCGTATTCATTGACTTTAGATAATATTGATTCTCGGTTCCGATGACACTGTATCAGTGATCGTGCGACAAATCAAGCCAAAGCACCTCCTTTGGCTGTAGGTCTTAATCCCACAGGTGCAAACTCTGTTTATGTCCCCATTTATTTCAGGCTGCATCCGTTACTAAAGTTTTGAGTGATTCTGATCAAGTCAGTTTTGTTACCCAGTAGTCTAATCGTACCTCGGGAGAAGATCGGTCTTTTCTGGTCCTCAGGAATTACTATCATTCAATCAGTCCAATAAGTAGCTGTCTAAAATTCACCTCTAATCTCTTGGCAATGAAAGGTAGAACACGTGAACGAGCCAAAGAATGTTTTTAAGCATCCCCTCAGCTAAATCTAGTCAACATCTGTATAGCATACGTCTACTGTCAGGTTTTTGCTGTTTACTCTGTTTGCTGTTGCAATATTTGTTGTTCATCATAACATGTATACATTCCTGAACGTTTTAAATTGCTTTTTTTTTCTTTGTGATTTTGTCATATCATTTCCGGTTAAAATTCGAAATTGTCGTTGATGTCAATACTATGCAAAGATTTGTGCTTGAATTATGATCGATATTAAATTTAACGCTCCTATTTCACTAGCAAGCATTGTAAGGGAACAAAAGCGTTTGAATTTGCGCATCGCCTAGTTACGACTGTAGGAAGTGGATAAATTCATAGAACTCTAATAGTCAGCAAAATAAAGGCTTCATAATTGAGTACCATCTGAAAGTACCTTAGTCGAATTTTGGTACAGTTTGCCACAGTTAATGAGGATTTAAATTGTGAAGCATACTGGTTCTGCAATAGTTTGTCACTGGTGTTTTCAAACATACTCATTCTGTGGTTGAGTGTACAGCAACCTGTAGTGCAAACTATTCAACGAACATACTGAAGTTTAGCTAGGGAAGCCATTGGAAGTCATAAAATATTGGGGCAAGTTCAATGAAGGCACAAGTTGTTTATATGCAAACAAATTTCAAAAGACAGATTCGGGTTAAATACATCATTAAATACTACATTTTTGGACGTAATGCTCAATGATTAACCTCAGCAAACCGAGGATTACCCAGGCTTTGTCATGTAAAACATGCAAATATCCAATACTAATAGGCTTGTTCAACACGGATAAATAATAATTCTTACCTAAACTCGCATGTAAATCTCACGGTAATCGTCAAAACACTGCATTTAAAACTCGACAGTGAACTCAGGCGAAATGTTGCACTTGGCATAATATTTTTCCAAATCTGAGTACAATGCTATCCGCGATCATTTTTCAGCACACTTTAATGGACTCACAGATAAACCTTTACTCATCTTGCAATAACTCCTCTCCTTCGTTGCTTGAAACTTTTCCATCACGGTTAATACGATCTACTTACTTAAAAAAATATGTAAAGGATAACCATGACGAAAACCTCCTGTATTTGCACAACTAACCATTCTTTGACTGTCTCATCAAGGGTGTTTGACCTGAACGTGATTCAACATATGAATTTTGCCGAGATAATTTTAGTTCGAATGTATTAGAGCCAAGTATGAATTAGCTTAAATCTCGCCATCTCTGTTGCAAGTAAAAGAAGGCAAATAGAAGGTGCAGCAAACAAACCCACCAGCGACTCCTAACTTCGTCCGTAATGAGCTAATACCAAAGTTTTTGTGTGGCATCTAGTCCAGGAAATGGTAGTTTGATGATGGTGATTTTAACAATAAACTGATAACAAAAATACCACAATTAAAAGCTTCGACAAGCACTGTATGTTCTTCAAAAATGATAAACACATTCCTTTAATCAAGCGTCATTTTCGATATGTCATAAATTGGTATGTTGCAGGTCCCGACAAAATCCCCATTATACCAAACTTGTTGTGCAATTCCAAACAACTCAAAGAAGTTACACAAACAGGACCTATCTAAGTTAACGCTACAAGTATTGCAACCTAAGTAAACTGCTGCCTCAGAACACAAACAACCCGATGACAATATGTACAAAGTCATACAAATATCAGTTTTGGATGAAACAAACACCGGTACTCAGGCTTTTATTTTTCGTGATGCTCCGATAAAATCTGCAACTTTAAAGAATGTTGTTTCATGTTTGCATTGTTTAAACCTTTTCCCATTAAGGAAAAACATTTTGTTGATCAGATTGCAGTTGCGCACCCTTAAGTGCGAAGATTGCAACAGTTATTAGTACAGTTTGAATTATTGTTACATTTATAATATCTTCACAAAATCATATTAGAAAACAAAAGATCATTAGTACATTCGTGCTAGATTTTTCTTGCGACTAGATTTTAGCTTTAACTGTTTTAAGTTGCTCATAGTCCTTGCCCTTTTTCGAACTCTGTACTAGTTCTCGTCGTTGATTCATGAACACGTTTGATTTAAACGATTCATTTGTGAAGGCTGCGTTGTACACACAGGTCCTGAAGACAAGTATTGCATATGCAATTTTGAAAGCATGCCCTCAGTATTTCCCGGTCTACGATTTCACTTTATCTCTACAACAATTATTCCAATATTCTACAACGCATCAGGAGGA